CCCCCCCCCCCCCCCCCCCCTCTCTCTCTCTGCAAAGCAGCCCTCGACCGCTACCACAGGGCCAGGTGACCGCAAAAATACCATCACTCGGCGCCGAGACCTCCCGCTGAGACACCCAGACAGGAATGAGTCGAGAAGCGCTGTATGATCCAATAAAAATGTACACACATCTGTCTGAACCGCCGGCTTGCTCATGAACAACACAGGCATGCGCAAGACCGCTGGAGAAGGGAATATCCGACTTCGGGGTCAAATTGGTTACCTTTTCAATACCCCCGTGCTTTTTCTTAGGGGCAAGGGTCTGGTCGAATACTGGCAAACCTAAACTTGTGTTTTTTTTACTTTTTCTACTCGATGCAGGGTTTGGCCGAGGGCAATAACACCTTGGCCAACCGAGCAGCGCAGGAGGCCAAAGAAGCCAGGGTTACGGCGGGGCAGAGGGCAGAACAAGCTGAAGCACAGGTGACAAGCTCGGGTTCTGCATAGTACCGCCATCACCTGATGTCCAATCCCTTCGGCGTTCCACCGTTTGGCTTCGGGCTAATTTCTCGCACTGTCGTTGACCGCAAGCCTGCTGCGTCAACCACGAGTACGTGCTCAAGCGAGCTTTTGGTGAATATCGGTGTATAGGTGTGTTTGAGGCGGGTTGTTTCTTTTTCTGATATACGAAGGTCAGGATTGATTTTTGAGTGCAGACCGCCTTCGGACTCTTTCGTTGAGGAGGGGAATGATGACCGCGAAATCTGCGCAGGGGGGCTCTACACCTGTCTCCGGTAAGGGCGAACGGAGACCGAGAGCCAGTCACCGACGTTAGGGGAGAATATGTCGTCTCATTGCCGAGAGACGAGGTGTAAAGTCCGGTACCCCAGCTTGGGACAGTGGCATGCAAACCATGAAACACAAGCATTCTAGTGTGAGGAGAAGGTGCACTCTGTGCGCACCAAGAGATCACGAGCATATCTGTTATGTGATTGAACGGGAAACCGTGATACAACCGCAGATCACGCTGACGGCAACAAGTATCGGTCTACATTTACCGTGAATACATGTGAGAATATAGTATTTCCACGTTTTTCGTCGCTAAGATTGAGAAGCTGATTGTTGTTGATGTTGACTGCCATCGCCACCTTCAACTCCCCGTGATGAACATGTCCTGCGTGAACACGCAGCTGGCAGGGCAAGTGGCTGCCACTCGCGAGGCGGAAGCGAGGGTACAGCAAGCAATCTCCCGCTGGGAGGGGGAGAAGGTGGACCGACTCAGGTTCAGAAAGGAATATATTACCAAGTGCTCCGAGGCTCAGGTACTACTTGTTGTTTTCTCTGCGCTTGGTTGGATGCATGTCTACAGGAATAATATTCCTAGTATTTTATGGCCTATCTCTAAATCGGTTTACCCGAGAATAGCACAACGATCGGTAATCTGCCTCTCTGTCCGAAACAAAACAGATCGTCGGCAATCAACCCCGCATCGTACGCTGTATTGACCACATGTGTGAATGTGACGTGTATTCAGGACGTGGGCCAAAACCACACGGATGCTTTATATCCGGGTTCCTCCTCCACTTGCGGAATGCGTCGTTGAACCCACTATAATCTAGAAGCTTGGTGGTGTTCATATTTTCGCCAAAGGTTGCTAACCCTAAACCCTAACCCTAGCCCTGTGTGCCCCAATCGTTTTCGTGTACGATTGCTCGAAGGAGCGAGAACGGACCGTGAGAGACCTCCGGGCTCGCCTCAAAGAAGCTACCGACCGGTTGTCTAAGTACGACGGGCTGCCGGAATCTCAGCAAATTCGGCAGCGTATGCTCGACCTTGAGGTAGGCGGCACCATGAGCAGAACGAGCAGAAGGCAGGAAAATTCGGGCAAACACAGAAGAGAAGTTACACTAGGGCCGTAGTACCAGCGACGAACTGCGACGCCCTGCCCACCTTGTCGGTTCCGACTCACACCCAGTGTTGAAATCATCGTCGGTTCTCGAATACCCTGCAATGGCGCTAGAACTGGTTTTGTACAGAACCCGAGGGGCTCCCACTAGCACAGAGAGCGGGGGACGACCTCAAGCGGGTAATGGAGCGACGAAGAGCTCCACCATACGTTGTATTGAATGTTCGTCTTCGTACGACGAAGAGAAAATGGACGTACCGTAATACGTGCTCATTTTCCAGCTGTGGTTTTGTCTCATGTACTGCAAAATCAACCGAACCGGCGGCCTACGTGTGTGGGGTTTTCAGGGGGATCGGCAACGGGCCAACGACGAAACCTCCGAGAGGGAGAAGGAGCTCGAAGAGAGGCAACGAGACATCGATGCTCTCAACGATAAGGTAGGATTCTATTCTGGGAAAGGGGTTTTGGGTGAGAAGCCGGACGTGCACTTTGCTTGCTGCCCCAGGAGCCTCCTTCGGATTGAAAATTATTGTTGCCGTTCGGCTTGGTCAGAACATCTAGGGGTTCAACCCGTGACAGATCTCAGTGCCCAAACGAATACTTGGTTTTCCCGAAAGACTCGATTTCCCTCACGATACCTCCACCCCTTTAACGCACGCTGGCCATGTCGTGGTGATAGCTGAAAGCCGTTCAAGACGCGCGAGATGCGGCATTGAAGCAAAGCGAAGTACTGGAAACCACAGTGGACAGCGTTCTAAGGGACAGGTGACAGAAATTTCGGCAAGGTATCGTATGAACTACATCCAGCAGGTCCCGAAGCGAGAAGAAGGGCACTCTCAATACGGATAAGGGGAGCAGCAGGGGGCGGCTTTGCAGGCATGCCACGGCGAGAATTTTCACAATACCTTTCGACGCACACCACCGAAGTTTCTCCTTGAGACGGAGAGGCCTGTTTCAACAAGCGAAACAAAACCCACATGAATATTTTCCACCTGTCGGGGAGTTGCCTGGCCCTGCTCAGCGGAAGCACCGCCGAAAGCTACCCCCAGCCATGGGAAACAAGAGTGTGTCACGCCCTGCGTCTTTGACCCCGGATGAAACACGAGCGCATGGTCGATCCTGTTTGCGATGGTTCTCCCGTGGATGCAATAGGGGTGACGCCGTCAAGCGGGCCGAGAAGGCAGGGAAGGCCTTGACCAAAGCTCGAAAGCAGGCAGACGAGGACGGCATGCAGATCGAAACACTAAAGGTGCGGTGTGAGTGCAAGTCATCTGCGTAGCTTCGTTCGTCGATTTATGTTCGTGTAGAGTCAGCAGTTAATGTGACGAGGGGTTTGCAAGTTCTCGAAGATCAAACGCTGGCGGAGATGTTTTCTTCTGTCGCCGCATCTCTCTCACTCACTCTTTACCTCTCTCTTTTCGGCAGTTCAAAATGCGCCAATAAGTGTTGAAAACGAGACGTGATCGGACTAGGAGTTTTGAACGCTCATTACTCTCATGAATTTGGCAAATGTTTGTTGCCGCGCCGCGATGTAACCCAGAACGAGGTTCTCGGGGTGCGGAAAGAAATGAAGCGAGTGAAAAAGGATGCGCCCTGGGTGTTCAAAGGAGGAGGTAAAAGCCAAGGCAGCAGCAGCAACAACACAAATGCTGCGGATCGCATCCGTGAAAGCAGCAACTCGACAAGCGGCGACACCGGGGAGATCCACGAGCAGGGGTGAGCGCCGGCAACTCTTCTCTGCGCCTGTTTGGTTAGTGCTACGTTTGCTCTGGAATTATTATTACTATCTTGTGTGTTGTATCGCCCAGCATTTCCCGTGTGGGTCTGAAAACGGTAGTCTTCTTCCTGCACAATTTTGGGTTCAATAGAACAGCGTATTTTGACAAAATCTAGCACCACAACATGACCCATATCCAGCGCCAAATTGTATTGAACCAGTCGAACCACAGTCAGTGCCAGTTTACAGGTCGACGAATGGAAGAAAACCGATAGTGACGCGTTCTGCCTGGCCAAGGAGCCGGTCATCTCAACACAAGGTTGACCACGACAGTACTGTCCTGTTTTTTGTCGTGTCTGACTTGGAAAACCAAAGGGTTGTGTCTTACACATCAACTTGTCTACGAAAACAGTTCGCTGAAGAGTACGTTCCAGGTTCAACGTAGAGTACAGTCATTTCTAATGTCTAATTCGATGCAAAACCTCATGTGTGGGAATATGCAGAAACACGTTCGAGCGTCCTTTTTAATCCTCTTCTGAATCGTTCATCTCGCCTTTGACGCCCTGTGTATCAGGAACAATTGCCCCCAATACGGCAAGTTGGAAGCGATGACAACGACGGCGAAGCATGCTGTCCAGACTCTCCTTCGATACCGCGTTTTTATCTCCGTTCGCTTAAAAATCGGGATGTGTACTAATGTTGCCGCCCGAAGTTGGCGTTGATGTTTCGAAAAGCAGATTTCCACCAGCAGCAGCCCACACAGCGCTTCTTCCGCGTCCCCCTCCGCCCCCTCCCCCCCGCCGCCGCGTTCTGTTTTCACGCTTACTTCCCATGGGCATAAGGGATGGCGGCATCTTGGGCGCTCGGCGCCGCCCCGCATCGGCGGTTTCTTCGGGAAGCGGTAGCAGCGACGATGAAGAGGGCAGAAGTGAAAACGGAGCGGAAACGATGGTTGGCAAAGCCGCGGAGACAGGTAGTTGGAACGTGTGCAAGGGAGGTTGCGTACTTGAAGTGTGTCGCCCGTCGAAATTCACTCATTGATTTGTTGCGTTGTGGAATCATTGCTATTGCTTCGAAATCTCACAGAAACCGCTTCTAGCCAAAATGCCTGGTTAATGTATCGGTTATGTCTTCGATGACAGCTACAACCGTGGCCGTTGCGACGTCGTAAACTCTAACGATACATTTCAAATAATGCCGGCCATCACGCAGTATACTGCTGTCATTTCGCGAAATGCTTTTGAACAGGTCCGCGGGGCGTCGCGGAGCTTCTGCGTCGACATCCGAAGAGGCACGAGTTACAGCGCCGAGGGCTTCGCGCCCTGAGAGACTTAGCCTACAAGGGTGAGAAGGCTGTTATACTCATGTCTAGCACTCTTAATTATACCCCCTCCCCCCGGCAATGCCTATGCTTGTTGCGGTCGCGTCCACTCAGCGCGTCGAAGATAGCTTCGATTGCGGGGCACACAACAAGATCACCCTCTCTCTCTCGCGTAAACCGGCCATACCGTGCTCGTGTAGGTGCAGCATTCAGAATAGTTTGAATCATACTCTTCACATCAGCTCGGAAGCGTTCATCATGGATATTCGAGCCGTACCACCGTCCATTGCTCGTTTCCATCCTGAGGTACAGTCGTGGCTCCGGTGTACGAGGGTGGTGTGACAAAGGCCGTCGACCCTCATACATATATCGAGCCCCCTCTTGTACCGGAATAAGAATGTACTACAACTATTGTACAGCGGGTCGACTCTGTGACAACCGGTTTCGACCCTCTTATACCGGAGCCCGCTCATATACGGTACCGTCTGATATCGGAGCCACGACTGTCTGTTTGTCCGTGTTCCACAACACGGGCACATTTCTGTCGTTGAAATAACACGACCCGTTTGCTGAGCTAACACGACGACACCAGCAACCCAAATCACTAACATTCTTTGTTGCGGTTTTTTCATGTCTCAAAAGGCGACGAGGAAAGGGCGGCGGTGGCAGCAGCGGGGGGCGTAGCTGCCGCGGTCCATGCCATGAACCGCTTCCCGGCAGATTCCAGAGTACAGGTGAACGACGACGAACGCCCAAGGCCGAAAGAAAAAAAGTGGGTGTTCGTCCCGCCGACTTGAAAAATCATCGTTTGTCCGAACATTCGACCATCAGCAGATTCCCAGTAGCCCCGGACCAACGACTCAGAACAACCCTTGAATAGTATGCACTGAGAGCAGCACATGTTGCGACCGACACGAGTCGTGTGTTCAGGAACGCGCCCTCGAAACCTGTTTCGGATGGTAGTCTCTAACAGCTGCAACAGCATGTCTGTGTCGCGTTCTCCCCGTGCCATGATTTGGAATGCCAGGGTGGGTCGTAAAACTTGCAGTAGTGGCATGTGATTGACATTCTAACCCTTACGCTCGGTTTTAACTCGGACAAAGCTCGGGAAATACTTTGTCGTGGTTTCAAACCCAAGCTGTACACGGGATACAGACAAGCGAGGAGAGGAGTACTGATGGTGCGCACAGGGCAGGCCAAAGAGCTGAGGATTCCATTCCGCACGGAATACGATGACGATGCAAGTGTGCAATCAAATTTATGCATACAGAAGTCCCGTTTTCACGGCTGGTGTCCGGTGCGCTATTTGCTGCGGTGCCAGAAGGTTGAGTGCGATTGGACGAGAAGGTCCTGTCTCTAACCGAATTTGTTCAATGTGTATTTGTGCGCAGGTCGGCGGAGTGAAGACCCTTGCACATCTGGCCTTCGGAAACGACGTCAACAGAATAGAGGTGCGTGCTACAGCTTATGCTGCGAACCAACAGCGCTTCAATACACTCCAGAGTAGTATATAACACGATGTGGTATATTGTGCACGTTGCAACAACTTCGTGTGGACTGAGAGCCCACCCTCAGTGCCGTGGATGGGACCCATGACTTGGCGTGGCCTGGTCCACCATGCGCCGTGGTGTGAACGACCCCGTCGCAGTGTGGCTGAGCTTGTCCTCATTCCACCCTCGTGGTCGTGCGCGCAATGCTTTCAGGTCGGTTCTTCCGGGGGCACGGCCGCAATCCTTCGCACCATGGCCGCCAACCCAGCCGACCCGGAGTTACAAGGGGAGGCGTGCACGGCATTTACGAACCTTTCCCACAACTGCGACCGGAACAGGAAGCTCGTTGTCGAGGGTGGAGGTCTCATCCTCATCCTCAACGCCATGCAGGCGAGGAAAACCCCAACACCTAACGGCAGTCCCTCTGCCATTTATATCTGCCAATCATGTGCCCTGTCAAAATGCTGTCTGCTCCGGGCTTCGTAATATCGCGATTTATGAGGCGTTATTGTTGGTTGTGGTGGCGGTGGATTTGTCTCAGACCTGCATCCTCGTCCGCACTCTTCGAAAACGTGGTCACCAACTGTCAACACACAAACCATAAAACGACCCAGAGCATTTTCCACCAGACGAGAAGACGCTGTAAATTCGTACTTGGCACGACCAAATCTAGACGAAGAGCACACAGAGTCGGGAAATGAGTAGTAGACAAAAGCAAAGGTTGGAGCACCACCACGAAGTCAAGTACTCGTGAAAAGCGAGGAGTGGTGATCATCTCTTTTTGCCGCCGACCAGGCCAGTTTCGTGCGTGCCCTGAGTGTATGAAAGGATTGTCATACGAAAGTGCGCCTTTCCTACCAAAATCGAGCAGACTTTCCCTGGACATCCGAAGCTGCAGCGCCAAGCATGCTGGGCCCTCCTGACGCTCGCGGCGAACGACGAAATATCGAGGGTAATCGCAAGCGAGGGCGGGGTGGGTGCCATCATCGCAGCGATGATCAACAACGCCGAGTGAGATGCTTCGTGGAAGTCTTTACAAGCGTTAGAATGGAACTTCCGGCCGCCGTATGCGGCCATAGTTGCTGAGTGGAACGTGAATTACACCCGTACCCATGACAGCAAATGACAGACCGGTACACGAGTTCCACCTTGTCTCCGCGTTGTTGATTGGTGCAGTTGTGTTGTGAGAATATGAGAATAAAATCTGTCGTTTCAACCAGAGGAAAGTTACGGACGATTGAATTGAATTTACCTTTGCAACGTTAGGTCGCACACCACACGACGGAAAGGCACTCACACAACGCCCTCGACAATGTACGAAGGACGATCCCCGAGCTCATGATGCCCCTATTGCAAAGACCATCGATTCCCTTTTCGTGCGATTTTCACTATGCCTTACTCCCTTCCCGACCCCCCACCCTCTGCCCTTCCGCGTGTGTGAAGTGATACCTCCGTGCAACATTTTGGCTGCTGGGCTCTGGCCAACGTGGGGTGGGGGCAAGCCGACGTGCAGAGGTTTGCAAGGGAAGAGGGCGCGATAGAAGTCATCCAGGTAGCACAGTATTTAGCGTTGTTGGTATTTGTGTCATTGTCGTCGTGGTTGATGATACTGTTGATATATATTTGTATATGTATTTTTTTCTTCACTTCAAATCAGCGCTTACAGCACTAAACTAGTGCCGTTTACTCCAACCCGTGGTCACACAGAAGGACCCCAGTCTAACCTCCCCTCCTGCGGTACGTTGCCTTCGATTTTTAATGCGAGAAGACTTCCGCCTCTTCCCTCTGTGTACACACGAACTAGCGCTATCCACTAGGCCAGGAGCGGAAGCGAGAGAGAAACTCACTTACGCCGGGATTCGAACCCCTGACCTGACCTCTAGAAGGTTTCGAGGATACCAAGTAGACCACCGGGGCGATGTTGATGGTACTGGCATATTGTTGCTGTTGTCGCTGTTGATGTTGTTGCTGTTGGTGATATCGGAGGCGCTTTTGTTGGTGCTGGTGGTTTTGTCTTTGCTGCAGATTTGACACATTTCGAGCCATTTCATCGTACGAAAGAGGCCTCGCAAGTGGACGTGGGTGTGGATGTAGTGTCCCCAATACCATATACAGATGGTATTCTATCACGCCCTCTTCAGAATTAGTCCGCAGCCTTTGGAGGGCGATGCAATATAGGGCGGTGGTGTGAAAAAGGCTGTAGGGAGCGGTGAAAGGAATCAACACGAGATCTCGCTGTGGTTCACAATAACACGGGTATTCTTTCTTTTGACAGATAGGACCTTTTTAGGTGTCGTTTCCGGGAATCACTTTGGGTGAACAGATGGAATGGAACACCCAACAACGTCTGCCTCGAGGCATCATCTGTGAAGAACCATACTTGTCTGTCAGCACCTCGGTAGTGACCCAACTCGAAGAATCTAACGGGTTTTACGACTACGGGTAACGATGAGCGTTCCTCGAAATCGTAGTCTCATGGTTGTTCAGCCGACCGTACGGGCAGGGTACAAATTGAAAATAAGAACTGGTTTGCCTGCCACGACGGCGACGAGTCAGATTGCCATTCAAACCGCAACCTTCCATACAACACCGGAAAGAAATTCATCGTGCAGATGCCAAAGTATATTTCCTCTCGTGCGCCACCAAAATCGATGGAATAGGCTGTTGTAGGTCGTCCTGTGCTAAGACATGTCGCCCCTTTGCTGGTGGATTGTTTTTTTTCTGTCCAGACTGCGGTTCAGAGGTTTCCGGAACATCAGGCCCTTGTAGCGAAGGCGCGCCTGGCGTCGAGCATCATTCTCGAGGGGGTGGGGCTCGCGCCGGTGTAACCCAATATTGCGCGTCCAGCAGTACTGTGTGCTACTACGTGTTTTACGCGCGTTGACGGACACCTTTGTTGCGGACCCTTATGCATGATGGTGGTTTAGAAATATTGCCCGCTTCATATTGCCCGCTTCCCCCTTTGTATTTGTTTGAAAAAGGGATTGACGTTTGAAATGTGAGTTTTGCTGCGGTCCCACCTAGCCAAATCATTAACAATCCATTTCCCCATGCACGAAAGAGAGTGATCCTCAACGTTTATGAACAACGTGAAGCGAACAAGTTGGCAGCAAAGCAATGCGTTGGCGGGCGCGACAACAATGTTAAGTCCGTCACGGCGCTGTATCGGCCATCATAACACCAACGTTTCTGAACCTCTCAATAGGTAGTGGTGTGAAGCGCATCGCAAGAGTAGCAATGGCTGTTCGTCGTGTAACCGCGTGCTGAAGGTCGCCTGTCTGTGTGATGGTGGTGTAGGCCGGAACGTTTTGCTCGCTAGTGAATCAGACAACGCTTTGCGGAACATCTCGAATCGTAGGAGGTACCCACCCATCGTAGTATTTTCCCTCTAAACTCGGCGTGATAATAAACAGCATGTTTCCTCTTCTACTGTTCGCTCATGGTGTTGGTAGTCGGCACACAGCGAGCGTCGTTTTTCGATCGCAACTAAAGGCTTCACTGCTTCTTCCGAGTCCTTGTTCGTTGTACCCGGTACCGCAGATATGCTACTAGGGAGAGTGTTGTTGGGAATCATTTTAGTCGGGGTCGCGCAAACGCCTGCGTCCGGCGATGCCATGTGGAATCCTGTTGTGTGCTCGTAGTTGGCAGGCACGCGCACTCTTTCAGTCTAACGAGCACACGGAATATCCTAGAGAAACAATATGAGCAGCTTCCTGGACATTTCCGCAGTACGTTCCACGCGCCCACCCATGCATCGGCATCAAATAAGAGCATGCTATCGCGTTGCGTCTGGGTAAAGGACTACGGCACGGGAAAGTCGATTTTCATTGTGTCTCGCTTCAAAAACTAGCAGAAGAACGCGCACAACCACACGCAAAAGATATGTTTTTTAAGCTCAGCTTGGAAGGAAGTGTTGCGCACCATAATATTCCTTGTTGTCATAGAGCGCAGTGGTTGGGACTTGTCCCCACCAGCATATTTTGCAGGCTCTGCATACCTCCACACACCTTCGCTCAAGAACCAAGACAGCATATTCAGAACGCAGGACGAAACATGCAACACGGCTGGTGCGTATTAATAATAAACAATGCTTCTTGTTGACAATTGCTACACCTGTAGCCCATTAGCTCAGATCTGTTGCTGAAGCCGTCCGGTCGAAGACGGCAGCTGCGATCCACAAAGTCCGTAAACAGCAGCCACAACATCCATCTTCTACTGCCGCATCCGGGATGAAAGACCCCCGTCGGTGTACAGCAGTAAGCTCATGCCCTTTCATAGTTGTGTTGGACATCCCGCAGTTCGGGGGATTGGGGCTCGTGGCGGCGATTGCAGCATGATGAGCGTTTGGTTTTGGATCCTGAACTGTGGGGTTTTAGGACCCAGCAGCAGCTTGCCATATCTGAGCGTGCCAACGAGCATGTCGCTGCTCCATGGGCCCTCCAGTACTGATTTGGCACCTAAGGCCGGGAAAATTTGAGCCGGAATTTCGTTTTCGATTATGCAAGTCTACCATACAGAGCGTACATGGCCGGCCGTATTCCCGCCGCATCTGACCGATCTAATGTGCTGGAATACATGTATTTTTCCAGTAATACACTCCTACAAAGCACAGAAATGGCTTCCCGTTCGAGATACATACATATTGTAACCAAGTCGAAGGAGGGTGTAGACGTCTTTGCATGAAGTGTGGAGATGACTTTGCTCTGTCATATTGTAGACTATGTGGGTGTAAATTTATATATATATTTTTCTCAGGATCCTAGTCTACATTACTGAGCTCTTTATCAAACGAGTCTAAGATACAAGGATTAGCAATGAATCCATAGCGTCAGCGAAAGCTCTGTATTTCCACGACTGCCCGAGCAGCACACAGTGATATATCTCCCCCGTGGGTAACAGGGTCAAAATTACAGTTTGGTAGCCGTCTTGAACACCAATCTGTATGTTATGCTGGGAAGGTGTTTCGACTATGTGTGCGGTGAAATTGCTGCCGGTTCAGCGCATCATCTTGGTTGGTTGCATCGATGTCGTCCGTTTGTGGGCGAGATCATTGTTGTCTAATCAGTGGTGTTTGTTAGTCGTTCTCATTCAATAGAAAGAGACTCGTTGTGTCGTTGCGTCATCATATTATGTAAGAAAACAGTGAAAAATATGCTGGGAATAGCCGAAACGGCACGAACACATGTACCGCTACAATAATTAAGAAAAAAAAAATAATAATAATATACGACGCATCCCGAGGCGAACCACCTGCGCATTTTACCGCAAGAACGTCGTCTACAATAAAGCTGCTGCTGTATATGGAACACCAGCCATCCTGTCCCTGGCCACACTGTTGTAGGTACAAAGGTTGCAACACCTCCGTGCGAAAGGAAAGGGACCCACATCATCTTCACAGCACATTCGTGGCAAACATGTTGGGACATACTGAAAAAGAGTGCGTTCAGGTACGAATCTGAGTACAGCAGCAGTACGGGCTCCCCCTTCCAGCATGTGGAGTGGGATTTGGCTCTTGTGTAGTCGGTCAGAAACGAGGAACTCCGCAACGAACACTCCCCAGCTTCGTATCAGTCTCTACATTTCCAGGTTCCAGAACCGATGTAGTCGTGTAGGCTACAGCATGTAGAATTATAGACTCACTCACGATTGTTTGCATGTTACAGGAAAAACTGGAGACCCAGGGCCCGCAGAACCAGTCTACAACCACTCCTCTTATTGCACTTCTACTTAGTCCATGTACATTGTCGATGGTGGTTCTTGACCTCGCGTGTCAAAGGGGGATAAGATTAGCCCTACTTACTATTTATCTTGCTGTTCAGTTAAACAAAACGTTGTGTCGATGTTTACTTTCTCTCGCCTCTTTCTAGGTACGACATGCCACATCGTCTACCGTGGTGTAGTCTAGTTCACGTTTGCCTGTGAGCACGGAAGGCGTCCGGGCCAACACGAATAATGTTAGAAGTTTCGGGCAGAGACCAGAAGGATATCCATTTGTATTTTTCAACAGTAACACGCTTCTCTTGTTTCATGTTCACTAATTGAAGTAGGAAGTAAAATGTTACCAGTATGAGTTACCACAGTACCAGAGCGGGAACCCCCCGACTCACAAAGTCTCCCAAGCTCCGTTTGGACTCTTGTCCCCTCAACAAACGTTGAACCCACCGGCGACTAAGCTGCAAAATCGGTTTGAGAGGAATACCCTTCGTGCTACCTGATGACGACGCCATGGTACCAACAAACGAAGGGAGCATGCGATTGTTCAGGAGGATCCGATTCGCAGGGTATCCGTCGATTGACTTTTACTAGAATCGGACAATGTCCTTGTTGATCGTGCGTACTTAGCGGCTCTGTCTCTCAGGTTGTCACCGGTGGTTGCTTCTACCCCGTGGAAGTGTCGGCAACGATGTTGAAGGAAGCTTAAGCTTACACCCGTAACCACAGGAACAAAAAACGAGGCAATTTGGGCACTGGCGCTGCGACGAATGCATAGTATACGGTCTCATCTTTTGCCACGTCATTTTTCTGCTCTCTGACACCGAGAGTGCTGGAGCAAGGGTCACGATGCGGCAACTAAGACCTAACCCAGCCCATACCACCGACGTATCCCTGTGCTCCACCATCATCCAATACAGGCGTGCCGGTCGTTTCTTTGGGGCGGGGAGGGAGTGCCTTCATACGACGACATGGGAACGTGCACTTGCTCCTGTGGTGGGGAGAACTGGAGATCATTCAACATCGTGGGGCGCGCCTCGTGTGTTCCTCGCGCAGCCTACGAGACTTTCGGCTATGTGGGGTTGGCCCTCGCTCTGATGCATCTCGCTCACGCGGTCTACAACTTGATACAACAGGTTTGTTGACCAGTAAAACTCTTGTCCAATCTCATATACTTCGTTCAGATATACGCAGCGAAGGCACTTATTGCCAGTGATATGCAACTCTTGAAAACGTGCCTATGGGAGTAGTGTAAGAAGGTCGGTAAGAGTAGAAACCTCGAGGAGAACAATCTAACGAGCGTGTTGTCTCCTGCGCGTAGCACGAAGAGGCCAGCTCTCACGAACCACAAGCCGCGCTCAGTGTCACACTCCCCGCGAGTGTCATTTGGTTCTTTGCAGAGGTTCGATTGCCTGTGCGCAATTCCCTGTTCTAACTGGCCGAAGTCGAACACGCGCCGAAACAACGACACAGCGCCGCAGTGAGGCCTATTGGGGCGGACGGAGAATGGTGGTGAAGATGCTCGTCGACGTGTACCGCGAGCAGCTCAGCATGATTTCTATCCTCCACGCGCCCGTGATAGCCCTATTCTTCGCCCTCGTGCTCTGGCTTCCGGACGAGAGCGTGAGGTGGTCCGCCGTGGCCTTGGGAGCGTCCCAGAGCTTGTCCGGTATCGGAGCCGTGCGGACCGTGCAAGTACTGATTCGAAGGTGAGCGTGATGTGCAGCATCAGCTTCAATTGAGCAGGGTTTTTATGGAGTAGCCCCACAGAGGACGATGCACTACAGAACCGACACATGTGCACCCTGCCGGGTGCTGAGGTGTGTGCAGAGCGAACGTCACCCCACGTTGTATGAAAACGACACGCATCCATGACGATGACACCTGGCTGCGCTGGCGCCGTGGACAGCTGTTTTGGCGTATGCATAGAGTAGGCATGAAACATCTCTCGCTCTTTGCCGTCGTCGCGTTTTGCACAAGCCCGCTGCGTGATTTATGCAAAATGTGTGTCCGAAGCCAATAGTCGCACGGTCTCATTTTCACCTCCGATGCTGTTGTTTATCGTTTGGCAGCGCCGACCCGCGACTATTAAAGAAGGGCGCTACCGTCCTCAAGGTATCTGCCGCGCTGACGCACCCGGTGGGGCGGTACACTTCCTTCTCTGCCGTATCCATCGGAGCGGTGTGCTTGATCTGGCTTACGTTGATGGCGCGTACCGGGCAGGGCTACAAGGTTGCTGCGATCTCGTATGTTCTGGTTGAAGGGTTGCCCATTCTCGTCACGGTCATGTGCAGCCGATCCATGATTCGAATCATCGACTACTCGATTGCTCAAGACGCTGCCAAGCAAAGGGCGCTCGGCGATCAAACCACCAGCAGCGCCTGCAGCGCCGGAAGCGGCCACAACCGGACGATGACGGTTGACCCGAAGCTCGCGGGGGCAAAGAAAACAATAATATCGGCGATGTTCTTCTGCATCACCCTTACGGGCATCGCTTCAACGGTGCTGATCTTTGCGCTCACGACCGAGTACGGGTACGACAACCCCATCGTGTTTCTGGCCACGCCGCTGGCCTTCGGCCCTCTGATCGCGCTGTCGTTTCACGTACAGCTGCACTCGAAGAGGAACAAGGCGCGCCGGAGGGGCCAGCAGTCACCCCCGCAATCGAACCTCAACTCCTTCTGCAGCAGCACCAGCGGCGACGCCAGAGGCCGGAGTGGCGGACGAAAAATCACCGCCGCATCCTTGATGGCAACGCTCACCGGTACATCGGACCGAAAAACCACGGCGGCGTCTGTGATGGCCACGCTCACCGGCACGTCAGGGTGGAAGAACGTGAGCAATCGCGTTGCGCCAACCGATTTTTCGGCACTAGAGCAGGCAAAAGGAGCTCAACTCGCTAGGCCGGCGGCCCCGGAAAGACGTGGCAACAGTGTGATCGCAGACACTGCCGTGGAATAGGTAGGAGTGTGGTTCCTGAAATGGTGAGCGCGCCATTGATCGCCACCTGGTGGTACGTTTGGTTTAGTATAGAAGGGTATGCAACAGCTGTAAAGAAAGGGAGTTTGCTGATATTAACGCACAACACCCCTGAAGAAACTACATGCAAAATGTAAACATTGTGGAGGGGGGGGAAGAGAACTAGTCTAGATATAGACGATTCGGTGGTGCAGCCGGGGTCCCTCAGCATGGCGGTATAGTGACAATCCAGCTCAACCGCTCTATTGACAGTCTCCGCCTTGTTCAGTTGGGGTCCCCGGAAAGAGCATCTAAGATATCGCGGAAGCCGTTCTAAACGGAGAAAACGAACTTCTCGAGTTTCAGGAACCCCGCCATATTTTCGGGCACACCCCAGAACATCATCAATGCACGTGTATCAATAAAAAAGGCATGTGGGAATGCTGGGAGATGGAGGAAGTGTGACGAAGATACACAATTTCCCGAAACCGCATGACTCTGTTTATATTCCATGAAAAAAGGGTGTAGACGTGGAGCGAGGGAAATGTCCCCAGGTAGCTAACCGTTAGAGTGGCCTGTTTTTTTTTTATGCCTCCCCGTCCGTAATTTTAGTCGTCGCCCCCCCCCCCCGCGTACAAGATGAAGAAACATGCGACAAAATGGTGATTTGTGCCTGGTTGGTGATAAACCCGAAGGCATGGTAGGGGCGTGTGAGGCACTGAAATAGTCCAGGGCAAAGGTCACCATCGTACGTGCGTTTGGGTGGTTAGACTTTTGATATTCGAGGAAAGTCTTTTGTGGAAGACCGAATGTGCCATTTACTGTGTGAACGGAAGAATTCGGAACATCTCCTACAGTAGACGCACGTATGTACCATATTTGGGTTCTTGTTGTACCGACCTGGAGGCGTGCTCCTTCGGATGTCTTGGTTCAGTTTTCTGGGGTCCTAACATGAGAAACAATGTCTCAAAGAGTTCTCATTCTGCTGCCTCACTGCTACTGCGGCAAGAGGTTGATAAAACACAAGTCAACTAGACCCAAGGGCAACGTGCTGAGGAATTGATAGTGTGTTCCACGCGGCCCGCTTTGGAGGGTCACGCCGGCATGGAGGTCAGCAGCAAACGATGTCAAGTTCGGACCATAGTTAGAAAACAGAATCGTAGTCTTTCTCTCACCCACCCACATCTTTCTTTCGGAGGTGGGGGATGGGAGAATGCTACGCGCAGGGGGAGGGGGGGCACTTAGGACAGGCCTCACCTTAGTATTTGTGTGACTTGGAGTTGGAGCCGGCATTGCTATATGGCGTAGAATGGGGAGTTTTCTGAAGGTTAGTGTATTGTATATTGTACAAGGTTTTCGGCGCTGCGCGCCCCCGCTTTATTTGAAGCGATTCCAAGGCAATGTTTTCTCTGAAAGTGGGTTAGGATGTTGTTAAAATGAAGGGGGTGCTCGGCCGGGGGAGTCGTCGAAGAGATGGCGGCGAGACATGGAGTCGAAGACTACAGAAGGAGTGCGACGCAACAGAAGGAGTGGGAGGAGTGGGCCGGGGTAGCCATCGAGAGTGGAGGTAGAAAGGAGTGTATTTTTGTATTTTCTGGACCTTTAGAAGGGATTATCGGAACCGGAGCACGCAACACCGTTGCCGGAATCGGAACAAACAGCAGACCATTCCGACGCGAGAGCGGTGAAGAGAGAAACAAAAATTAAAGACAACGTGGATACACACACACACACACCGAGAGGGGAGAGAGAGAGAGAATACGGTACCAAGGTGATAGGAGGTGAGTGCATACTGTGTGAAGGTGTTCGAAGAAAAAAAACAATGTACAGCAGTAGCACACGGAATCGGAACAAACAACAGACCATTCCGACGCGAGAGCGGTCAAGAGAGAAGGCGAAAACGAAAAGAGAATGTGGATACACAAACCATCAGAGACATAGAAAGACGGAGGAACGGAGGAGAAGGAGGCACACACAGAGAGGGCCGTACTTCGAGTGGAATGCGTGGTTTGATGGTACAGAGCGGGGTGACAGCAGCAGGCGAGAGAGATAAAAGCGGAAGATAAAAGTGGAAAGTCCACCAAAGTGCCAAATTTCCAGAGGAAATGCTGCTTTGTGAGAGCCCGAGAAGACCGGAACGGAGCGCTCACAGAAGCCGAAAGAAGCGAAATGAAGCGTTCTCAGAGAAAAACTTAAATTGTACGAAGACTACAAGGTTTTGGGCGCTGCGCGCCCCCGCTTTATTTGAAGCGATTCCAAGGCAACGTTTTCTCTGAAAGTGGGTGTAGGATGTTGTTAAAATGAAGTTAGGCACCGATGGCAGTTAAAGTTTCCGTGAAGGTGGAGTTCCCATGATGGAGGTTCGTGTGTGATTTAAGGAGATGTAAAGGTCCATGATTTGTTTTCCAGTGCCCATTACCTGTTTGGGTGCGGTAGCCCGTCAGAGGCCGAAAGAGAAAGAAGGTTGACTCAAGACCTTGGTTGATTAGAGAGTGAGAGACATGCGGTAGGCAACACCATCGCCATGCAGCATGCCCATCAACACATTTCATCCGCGTATCCCCCGGAGGTCCCGTAGACAGTATACTCTGCCGAGCACCCCAAACAGCCCCCCTGCTCGGTACGAGATACGATCTACGAAATCCTCGTCACGACTATCATTGCCAGGTAAAACGGCGATAAATCAAACTACGCATCCAAACGGAAATCATCCACCATTCATTCCATTTCAAACAATTTCCCAATAAAACAATGTTCTACGAAATCTGTCGATCTCCCAATAAAACATGCTCTACGAAATCTTTCAAATGTTCTGATGATATCAAATAACTATCTCCTAAAAGGTCTGTCAATAATCATTTCACCCTCTTGAGAAAAATGCTTTACCAAATTCTCAAGAAGTCAAAACACAAACAAATACCCTTGGAAAAATACCCAGCAAAGATACACATTACATCAGAATCACGTCAGAACGGGGACGGGTAACTCCGGGAAAATGTGTCCAACGTCCTGACTTACTCAGAATAAATTCCTCAGATAAACATTCATGTTTCAACTCATTGACCAGCTCAAATAACCTTCGGAAACACAAAGGCTTCAACCATGACTTACGAGAACATGCCAAATCCTTCCTCCAATACCCAATACCTTGACAAATATACCAGTCCACCAGCAGCCCCCCTGCTGTAACATCCATCCATCCCAAACACGAAGAAACCAAACAAACAAGTCCAAAACAAACATGAAGAAACCAACAAATCACAAAACAGACAATCAATAATCCCGCATCCCCCCTGCTGGGACATCTCATATAAACGCAACGAAAATCCCATTCAATATTCAATTCCATGTCACCTCCGTAGGTAAAACGCGGAAAACGATCCAAACACGAACTACCCAAATCCCATTAGCCAACATCAATTCCATATAAAATCCCCAGGGAAAACACGGAAAATCTCAACATGAACTACCACCCGATGTCAGAAACACTGCTTGTTGTGCTGCAGCGGACAGCATGGTATCACATTCCCCCCCCCATGATTTCCGACAGCAGTGCAACAATCAGGCGTGATTCCGCAAAATCCAGCATGCTAATTCTGCATCGAACTTCATCAACTCCAAACCGAAACAAGAAAAGAAAATATATCAAAGAAAAGACGTCACACGTCCAGCGCATACCAGTCTGCCGTACAGGCCTACTTGGAAAGGAAAATTGGTATTCCGCAAGGATTGACTCGTCGGGTACCGGTACATCGGGGGGACAGAGAAACGGTGCGTGCCCCCCAACGTCTTTACCCAGCACGTCGAACGCCAAGCCAACGCCTACTACATATATCCAGTACCATCAGAAAAACATAGCAGTAACTACCATAGAGAATGTTATCCCAACAAAGATGGAAAAACCAGAGTGGAACAAACCGTACGCAGAAATTATACTACCACCGCCAATTGAGATATTTTCCTGGCAAACAACAGCCCCCCGGCCGCAACATTCCATTTGCCTCCCAGAAAAACAACAATAATCAGCCATGGAAATTCCCTGCCATTTGGCCGTGGGAATTAGTGTCCCTGCAAGGTAAAACGCGGGTGGGTATCTCTACAGAACAAAACAAAAGCAAATCCAAACCTGCAAATGTGCCAACGATAGGAAAAATGATTTGCAGACATTCAAACAACGATGAAAAGTGCAGCATTGTATCTGAAGATCAAAACACAAGAACAACATCCTGCACACTACAAATAATAGAAAAATGACAAGAAGAAAACGCAAACAAACATCACGTGCCTTGGCGAGTTTGAGACCCCAGCAGAAGTCGCGCTGCTTGCCGTCATTGTCGGACTCGCCCGGTCTTCCGAACTCCCTTCCCCGCTTCATGATCCTCCTGTCGTTGTTCCGGTCGCGAACACGGGCTCCCCGGCCGTTGCCCCCGCGACATCTTTCCACGGTCGAACGGGGTGTCCACCCCCATCACCGGCCCCACTCTCCCAGCCTTCAGCCGGCACAGCTCCCCCGGGTCGAAGGGGCGCAGCAGTGCCCCAAACCAGGCCACATCCATCCCCTCTGCCTCGTCGTTGCTACTGCTGCCGATGCTGCTGCCGCTACTGCTGCTGGAGCCATCGACCAGGTCGTCCACCCCGGGATAGTTGGCGCCGCGCACCCCCGAACACACGGTGCCGGGATCGAAAGGGTGCGTGGACGCCCCCCTCTCGCCACAGACGCTGTCACCCCAGCAGCCATCAACCTCACCTGCGCACCAACCGCCATCATCGCTGTCGTCGTCAATGCCGTTGACCACCGCTTCCCCGTTGCTGGCCGTCCCCCCAACCGATACGGTGGGGTAACGTCACCGACGGTCGCCATCGTAGCGGCCGGTGCCATCGCCGCGGTCGCGGGTGGTGCCGTCACCGATGTCGCCACTCCAGCCGCCGATGCCGTCATTGTAGCCACCTGCGCGGGTTCTCGAGCCATGCTCCCCGCCGCCGCAGCGGGAGAAACAACACCG